CTGACCAACAGATGCGATAGTTTCTCTACTGACCAACTGGTGTGATAGTTTCTCTACCGACCAACTGGTGTGATAGTTTCTCTACTGACCAACTGGTGTGATAGTTTCTTTACTGACCAATACATTTCTAGAACAATCTGTTCAGACCATTTTCACTGCTTGGGTGGTTGGACGGCGCCATTGGTAAGTCTTGCGTCCTAAACTCCCCTTTTGTCGTTTCTGTATGAGTGTGTTACTTTCCCCCAGCACTAAATGACCACTATTGTGTGCTGGTGGGCTTCTCTTTACTCAAACAAACAAACCAATCAACGTGGGTGGTTGGCGGGTGCTCTGGTGTGGATTGCTTCTTCTTTCCTATCAAACATCTATCGTCCTTATCTCCCCTCCTTCTTTTTTATGTTTGTTACTCTCTTGTAACACCTCTAATCTTCTGGCGCTCATACGACCTTATGCAGTTGCGAGCGCCGTAAAACCTCTACTAAAAAAACCCAATCAACAAACAAACAAAACAATGTCGACTGCTTAAAGTAAGAGTCCACCATACGACATTTTGAAACGTGACGTAAAACGATAGAAAACTTAATGCCACATGTGGCTACGTCTCTGTCTCAGGTAAACTACGGTCTCTTCCTGCACGTGGTTATGTCTCACATGTAAAACCCCCAGGGCGGTGCCACTGACTGAAGTGTCTTTAGGTCATTCCCAAAGGGGGGACATTTCTCGTTCTAATGCACGGTGGAATTGTAAACGTGCTGATCTAACAATGTCATGCTCATAACTGTGCCTGAACTACAACAGAGAACTGCTGCTTTTTCTTTTCTAATCCTTACAATCGTCATTTCCCTCTACTTCTTTTGTATGTTTGTCACTCTCTTGTGACCCGCTATTTCTGGGGTGCCTTGATAGTCGAAGCAGGCTTTGTGCTGTTGAAGCTAGAGAGGTGAGCAGAGTAAGTCTGATTCCCTGTAAGGACTTCTCTGTTGACATCCATCCCTTGGCGTTCATATGACCTTATGCAGTTGCGAGCGCCGTAAAACCTCTACTAAAACTAAACTAAACTCTCGTGTAAACAACTTTCTTCTCCTATCCGGGAGGCTATGTTTTCCCCCACTAGGCACTAGGCGGGAGTTGTCTCGGGCCGACAGGGATCTGGTCGTGTGTGTGTGTGTGTGTGTGTGTGTGTGAGTGTGTGTGTGTGTGTGTGTGTGTGTGTGTGTGTGTGTGTGTGTCT